TGATAGAAACCTTCGATGGGTTTTTTTCAAAATTCCTCCTTTTTAGCCGCGGCAAAGTGCACACTGCTTATCAGGGCGTCGGGTGCCTATGTATATAGTACGTTTTGGCGCAGCGCCAGCCTATTTCCGTCAATGGCTGCCTGACCCCCAGTGGCAACGACTGCTGGCAGCAGCGGGCGCCAAACCCACGAACTCAAAAACGCTTCTACAAAAAGCTCCGATAGCTACTGCACTTGGTGTCTATTGTGCAAGTCGGAAGGCCAAAGAGGGCGTTCCGGCGACGTATTCCTGACCTGTTCCTGTGCAGTGTCTCCTCTCCTATACTGAGGCCATTGCCTCGCTTTCGTCCAGGCCTTCGCAACCATTCCTCTTGTTGCCCCACGGGCTGTACCTCTAGGCCCAGTCCATGAAGGCGGTAAGGCTGTCATTTGTACAATAACCTCGTCCACTAGTTGGTTACCTCATCAAGGGTGAACGGTAACAACGAGCTGATTGATGTCTAATATATCGCCTGCTCCCTGTTCTCTCATTCTATCTTTTTTTCTTTGTTCTCTCACTCGCGTTCACAGTGTCTTTTTCGCCTCGTTTCTTTGCAATTTGCTGAACATCAGATGCATAACAATAGGACCTCACTCGCCTCATTGAGAATGCTTCAGTTTAGGTTTGATCTGCTTTCATATTCACTGGCGAGCCAAATATTACATTTACAATCACTGCATGAACCCACAGTACCCACTCCTTGCAGTCGCGAAAAGTCTTTGCTTTGCTTTTGTGTTCTCGCTAAGCAGAATTGAATATGTTAAGATGTCAAAACTTTCAAAAAATGCCGAATTGGATGTACCTGACGCCAAGATTTTCTGCGTATCCACCACCCCATGATCCAAATGGAACGTTCGCGACTCGTCCAACGCCAATCGATCCTAAAACCATATAGGCAAAGTCTACAAGAGGGGGTAGGGGTGGGGCAAGAGCAAGATGGAAGGCTACAAAAAGTCAGTCGAGAAAAATAAAACAAACCTTCTTCATTGATGGGATAGTATGGGATACCGTTTACCTCTACAGTACCAAGATTCAGTCCGACATTAGAGTTAAATGCGTTCGCAATGCTGTAGAGAGGATCCGATCGGGGCAGGAAACTCTGGCAATCCTGAAAATGCACATGATCGCTTGAAATCCACTGGAGTCCCCCCGGGAAGGACAATAAGATACTCTTCAGATTTTTCGCTTCCCGAATGTCAGCGAAAGTCTTTGCCTTCATTTGAGACCTAGCCAGCATTGACAAGTTCTCGCGACCGTGGCCAGCAGAAAAAATGAAAGGTGGTGAGAC